CTGGAAAGAACGCGATTAGGATGAAACAGTTCCCAATATTTTGAGTGGACGTAGTTCCGCAAGCATGTAGATGTCAACCATTTCAAGGGGCTTGATTCTCGTTCCGATCGACGGCACGATAATCGTCAAGGACAACAACAGCTGGGAACTTCGTATTATTCTACAGGTCCCAACGCATTAGTAGTTTAACTGCACATGTTAGTGCGAAGTATCACGGTGCTATGAAAGGGAAAGAACTAACTAATTAATTCCACCAAGCCGAGTTACGATTTTGACGTGGACTTCTTGGCTTGTTGCCCACCAACGACTATGTATCATAAGCATCTCCATTTATTGCAATTAGTGAACAAAAGGACTAACCATACGATACAAGTCAGGCATGCAAACACTTAATTTATTACGAAAAATAAGGCGAGACTGGGTGAAAATAGCGGGCAACAAGAAGAACTACGACGTTTACATCTATTTGCTGTTGACATATATAAATTGTTAGCAAAGCTCACGTAACCATGGAAAAATGTGTCTCGTCAGCTATTCTAACAGTCAATCTTCCCCATTAAGAAGCTCGGCCGACTGGGCAATCATGCCCAAATTTAGGGCAGACTGGTTTTAGCACAATAGTCCCATAGAAACGACTTCAAAGAGAGATGGGAATTTTGGACAACCTTGACGGTTAAAACCCCCTAGAAAACTGAAAAGTTTATAAAACCAATCTCCTGACAAGTTGGACTTGGCATTACATGCGACAAGGCAATATAGGCCTTAAGCATTGGACGAACAGCATTTAGCTAGGATTATGAATTAACAAGTCGGCTGTAGGAGCGGTATTTACGGTTGAAATCGATATTGCACGAAAATGAGGGGGGGGGCTTTGAATGTATGGGAAAAACTTCCTACCTTAGGTCAGTATCACGGCTTACAACACACTCCTTCGATTGAGAAATTATGAATTCACACAAATATAACTGTTGCACAGCCAGTTACTTACCTTTACCATGCCGCAAGACTTCAGAACGCCAAAGGACGAAAGCATTGACTGAAGACTGATCTCCTGCATCGTAGGCGGTAGTCCACATACAAATACACAATTTGAAGAGAGGGAGGGCGAGAAGGCGAAACCAGTTCTCGATTCGAGAGTCACCGGTGGTGGAACGTAGTCACGAGGACGACGGACACGCAGGGAACTGCCATAGTAAGTAACACCGTCCAAATTCAAAGCGGCAGTGGCCTCTTCCACGGACCTCAGTTCGATGAAGGAAAAATGCCTCTCTGAGTTAACCTGGACTGCGATTACAGGATCACCAACTGCTTGACAAAGGCCGCGTGCTCGCATCTCCGTGTTGAAAAAGAGCATCATGCCCTCAGAGGTCATACCCGGTGGTATACTTCCAATGTAGAGTCTACGAGCCTGCCTAGTGGCACTGAGAGGTATGAGTGGATTGACTGCGGGCGCTGGTTGAGGAGTCAATAGACCAGGCATTTTTAAACCGATCAGTTCCCCCAGCGACGATGGCGGCTGACCTGGTGAATTTAAAACGTTCATAAGGAGGGAGAGAAGAGAACTGGCAAGCGGGTTAGACTGGACGAGTCGGGGAAGTGAACCCAATGTTTCAGACATAGGAACGTTGGTGGGGTTTGCAATGGTCGGTGTTTTTGGAGAAGCGACTGGGGGCTTGATTTCAGCTATTGCAGTAGTGGTGGTGTCCTTATGACTGCCTTCAAT